GTGCTTGTATTATAGAAATCCCTTCACGATAGAAGAAAAGAGAATGAGTGGTTCGAATTGAAGTCGTCTTGTTGTATGTGTGTGGAAACTGCATATATAGAGACGCCATGCTTGACTGGTAGTAGAGAATTAAGTGTTTCTTTCTGTTTCTATCTACCCACGAAATAAAAATTAAATGAAAAGATAATGCTGTTGACGAGCTACTGGACTTATGTCACTCACAAAGAAAATGCAGTTGAGTTGATGGTAATTATGCCACGTACATGCTCAGTATGAATTACAAAAAGTTGAGAGGTCATTGTCCGAAAACAAAATAAAATTGAAAAGTCTTCTTTAGTCTTTTGAAGTACATAAATGTCTCATATGTCAAAAGTATTTGAAGTTTGTGACTTGTTCTAACTCCGATTTTCCATCCATCAAACACGGTCGAGGCTTCACTTTAGTTACATCTTTTACGGGTATGCAATTAGTTCATAGTCATGGTCATTAAGCCAAAAGAAATCGAATTTGAGTTTTCCTTCTTGTTTATTTCTGTGGGGTTCGAAACTTACAGTAGCATACATTACAGAACATTATATTCCGAAAGAACATGTGATTGCCTACAACATTAACAGAAACACACATTACAACAATAGTTTGTTCACCATGTTTTCACAGATAATTGTGGAAGTTCGAGTAATGACGAAGTTGGATCATCACCATCACGATCCCAAGCTGACCATCCTGTTCCTGTTGAGCTTGAAACAGCACCCCATTGCTCAATAGATTTATGTTCGACAAATTCCACACCTTCATAATTTTGTTGAGTATTAGCGGATTTTTCTGCCATTTGAAGTGCCTCCAACTCCGCTGTGACCTCTCTCATTGTAGGTCGATTCCTTCCATTCAAATTCAAACATCTTCTTGCAAGGTTAGCAACTACCCTGATCTCTATTTCAGAGCCCTCCTTCAAAACCAGAGCATCAACAACGTCTAATAGACGATCTTCCTCCATCAATGTAATGAAATGTGCAGCAAGACTTCTGTATTCTTTTTCTTTCGCTGAGCTTGTTACCAAAGAGATGTGTTTTTCTCCAGTCAAGAGCTCAACAAGGACCACTCCGAAGCTATAAACATCACTTTTCTCAGTAAATTGGCTTGACCGAAAGTATTCCGGGTCTAAATAACCAAATGTTCCATGTATAACTGTGGTCAGGTGAGTTTGGCCTATGACAATTGATCTTGAAGTTCCAAAGTCAGCAACTTTTGCTCTGTACTTTTCATCCAAGAGTATGTTGGTAGACTTAATATCTCTATGATATATGGGAAAGGAAGCAGCAGAGTGTAAGTACGAAAGAGCACCTGAAATTTCCGAGGCAATGCGTAAGCGCATTTGCCATGTAAGTTGAAACTCTTCAATCTGTCCTTGGATATACTGATAAAGAGTTCCATTGGGTATGAATTCGTAAACCAAAAGAGGAACTTCAGTCTCTAAGCAACAACCCAGTATTTTAACCACATTCCTGTGGTTGATTTGTGAAAGGATCACAACTTCATTGATGAATTCTGAAAGTTGGCCTTCATCAACTACTTTAGACTTTTTTACAGCAACGATCCTACCATCCGTCAACATTCCTTTGTAAACAGTACCTTGTCCTCCTTGACCTAGAATTCTATTGACATTAAAATTGTCAGTAGATTTCTCTAACTCTGTGGATTTGAACAACTTGATTCTCTCAACGTTAACTTCACCAGACGATAATTGTTGTTCTAACAACAAACCGCCATTTCGTTTGAAAAACTTCTTCTTATTTTTAATGTCATTCCTTTTCTTTATGAGTCTGTATCCCAGCCACAGACCAATAAGTAGCAATATTAGTCCAAGACCCGCGCCAAGACCTGGACAATTCAATGAAACATCAACATTGAGACACACCAACTGATGTGGCAATTTCTTATATGCTATAAATAATTAAAAGACCAAAGTGAGCTCAAAATAAAAACAAATGAACCACTATCACTTCATTTGGTGTCCAAAAGCTCATGTAATAAGTTTGTGTCTTTTGTTGAACTTTCTTTTATCCACAGTCGACTCTTTCATTTTAAAGTTATAGAACGTAGAATATTATTGGCCATACCTTTAAGGGCCCACTTGAGAGCACGCATTTTATTCACGGAGCAATGGTACCCCCCATAGTCGTTCACACACTTGCTTCCGGCCAAGCATATAGTAGGGTTGTACGAGCATTCATCAATGTCTGAAATACAACGTCAAAAAGAGAAAAAAAGGAAATGATGGTGAAAGATCATGCTTGAAATTCTTGCATAATTGTTAGATGTAGGACTATCTTTTTTCAAGGCCATAGTGATTTAACTTTTACATTGAGTTAAAATTAGCATACACCAAATCTTATCTCAATTTTTTAAACCCCACCACTTCATTTGTTTATATCCAAATAATTTTGAACCTCATTCATTTATAAAAAGCAAGCAACGACTCCCGTGTTATGTGTCCTGCGTATGTTTGTAACAAAAACAATTTGTACATGTTAGCCCAAGTGGCGAGGAGATGGAAAAATGAGTTAGAATTGCGCATGTTATAATAATTTGAAAATCTTACCATGGCAAGATTGTCGAAGATAGGGATTTCCTTCGAAGCCTTCCGGGCAGTAGCAGTAAAACGATGCAGCCATATGCCGTGGTGAAAAATGATAAGTGGAAGTTTCATCGACCTCGCAATAAGGTGTTGGATCATGCCGCCTGGAACGATTTCTTTCACCATGAATGAAGTTAGTGAACAATAGATCGGTTACATTATTATCAAACTGTAAGGCCCATTCTAGCACCACAGGGACCTTCTCCATCGCCTGGACGGCTCTTGATGAAGTGTTGTCAAACCATTCCCTGTCAACCAGGAACGCATAGTTAATATTTTTTTCATACATATTGTTTGGTGCATGGTAGTCCGTACAATCTATAGCCGATGCGTTTGGGCAGTAGCAGTAAAACGACAGGGCTGTCATTTGAGCTTGTCACAACGGCAGGGATTTCCTTCGAAGCCCTCTTGAAAGCTATCACAAATGGACCTGCACCCACCGATGATTTTGTCGGTAACAGCAACCATATCATCGTCATTTGAGCTTGTCACAACGGCAAGGAAGCCGCAACTCACTGCAGTGAATAAGTTGTGCCTCTGAGAGAACACAAAGAAGCTTCCTGTCAAATTTGCCAGCAGTTGGTGACTTGAATTTCCCTTCTTGGTGTTGCACAGAAAAGTGACAGGGCTGTTAACGCGAAGCGTGCCATTGATAGAAATGTCAAGCACCTCCAGTTGGGCGCGCCGCAAGAACGGCTTGTGCCCAGTAGACTTGTTGCAGTCTATTTGAAACCACTCGTTTAAGAAACAATTGGTGCTTGGTCCAATGCCAAAAGGGTAAGGGATGCTCACACCTCCGCATAGCGTTGTGCAATTAGGCATTGCTATGGGCGGGGCTTCTGCTCTTGATGCTGCTTGTGCAATACTTATATGCCAGAGACAAAAGAGAAGAATGAAAATCATGTGTTGATCTAACAGTATTGTCATTGCTCTTATTGTAGGATCTGCCTTACCACAGCAGCTCATACATTTCTTTTGTAGTTGAAAAGAAAGCACATCATCCAACTACTACATTAATATAAAGCTTTTCTTATTCTCAACTAGCTGCCATCTCTGACTTTTTAGATTAACTTAACTCTTACCAATTAATATATAAAGCTTTTCTTATTCTCAACTAGCAGCTGCCATCTCTGACTTTCTAGATTCTGAACATAATTTTCAAAAATTAATTCTCATCTCTGAATCAATCTGTTGATCACTAATGTGAAGCTTATAAGCTGAAAAGAGTAGCTAGCTAGCTAGTAAAGAGTTTGCAAAGGAAATTTTGGAGATATTATAAGGTTTCCAAAATTTTGGAAATTTTGGAAAAATAATAAAGGCATGGGGAGCTTTGTGGAAGTTTTGGTCACAAGAAGCCTTCACAGAGTGTCTCACTTTAGTTGTTTTCTTCGAAATTATTACCGTATAACTTCCAAATAGATTAATATACGAAAGGTATTTCTACGCGCCTTGGGTTGAATATAAGCGGGAACAAATGAGTAAGCTACTTTTCTTGTGTAGTTGTTGGAAAATTTTAAAATTTTAATATTAAAATATTTCCTTTGACTTTTCATGTAACCAAGAGTTGTACACTTCGACTTTTCATTGTGAGACACAATCCCTCCAAACAGGTCCTTTTAGTAGTATAAATACTGCAGCACATTGAGTAATTGATCGAGTTTTTACTTCATGTCATTTATGCCAAGTTTTTACTTCATGTCATTTATGCCAAGCACTTGCGCAAGAGAAGCATGTATATATCTCAAATATAAAAGGCCATGCATCGGTTATATAAAGTTACATACCATTATAACATGCATTAGAACAGACACAAGTCCGTGTTGATTGTTCTTGTAGTTTGGAGTGCTATTATTACCACAATAAGGAGGTCATTGTATTCTGGAAGACGTTTATCATTATAATCTTAAAGCACCAGTGAGGGGCATGTTAAGAAAATTAGAGTATACAACTCTAATATAGAATTGTATATTACAATAAGACAACTCTAAAAGAAAAGACCAACTCTCACAAGACTACACGCTCAGAAGGCCACTCTTCGAAGACTACTTATTGATTCTTGTCTTCATGACTTGCTTTCATAATCTCAGAAGGCCACTCTTTGAAGACTACTTATTGATTCTTGTCTTCTTGACTAGCTTTCATAATGGAAGGTTCATGCCTATTTATTATAGGAGAGTTCACCGACTTTGGCTTCTCCATAAATCCTAGCCACATGTGTGTGGCATGCTCTAGACTCCACCATATTCTGATTTTTCTAAAACTCCTCTCTTATATTGTTTGAGTTATTCTATGCATTTAATTTGGGATATATTGGCATGAATTAACTTCCGATTTTCCATTAATATACCAATTAAATCCCTTGTAGTTTGTGTGGAAATTATGTGCAAAATTTAAATTGTAGCTGCCAAATGTACGTTTTAACAAATAAAGTACATATTTGAGATACACTAATCTTCTTCTTTTCAAACATGGTATTTAAATCAAAATATATAAATCCCTCAATGGAAGCTATATATATATATAGAGAGAGAGAGAAGGAGAGAGAGAGAGGGAAGTATACTACTCATACCAGTGTCACACTATATTAAGCCAACGGACCACAAGACAGGACGATGAGCTTGTTGAAATTGGCTCAAATTTGATGGCATGTGATGTGTTTTGTTATGGGCACCTACCTTGTTGTTGTGGGCTTCACGTGATGGAGTTTTTTGGGAGAGTGCTTTTGCACTTCTATTTTAGGTAGCCGAAAGCAAGACAGTTGAGAAAGAAAGAGTTAATTCTTTCTTTCTTTAATGTTTGCAAGTTGGTGGCCAATGATATTGCATGGAATGATGATGTCTTTAGTGGGAGACAAAGCATAGGGCAATGATGAAGGAATTTTTCCTTCTTTGGCTGGCCATAACGTGGGTTGGCATGTGGTCATTAATTGAAGGTGGCTGGTTGGCTTTTGGAAAGTGTGAATGGTCTACAAAAGGAGAGCTGCAAGCAGCAAGCAAAGGGTGAAGGG